CGTGCTACGAACGGTCGGTCAGATGTGAACAATCACATTGACCATTTACGAGCGGTGCTCGAGCGCATGCGCACGAATGAGTTGTGCGCCAACACGTCTAAGTTAATCTTTGGTGATAAATAGATTTCATATTTAGGGTGCTTTATTGGTAATTGAGGCCTCTGAGCGGATCCCGCTAGGTTAAAAGCCATAGTTGATTGGCCGGTTCGTAAGAACCAAAAAAACTTCATAAGTGGCTTGGTCTTGCCAATTACACAAGTATCTTGCGAATAACGCAGAAATGGCTCGGCGTTAGCCAATCTTCTTGAATAGATGTAGAATGGTGCTATTCTAGCACCGAGCATGATGCTTTTCAAGCAGTACAGGAGGGTCTCCTTCATGCGCCAATCTTAGCTTTGCCTGATCCTTATCGATCTTTCAGTGTCGTCTGTGACGCATCTGACTTTGCCACAGGTATTCCTCTGTTGCAGACAGATTGTAATGGACGGGAAAGCGTCATTGCGGTTTAGTCCCGGCATATGAAGGCTGCACAAGAGAACTATCCTGTTCATGATAAAGAGTTACTTGTAATGAAGTATGCTCTCGTCAAATTTATAGTTCATCTTCTTGGCTCGAAGCCGTTTGTGATCTATACAGAATATGCGTCACTAGGCACTGCAACCCAGTCGCCTCACCTCTCGTGGAGAATCGCTCGTTGGCTTTCCTTCTTTGCCGAGTACAACTTTGAGGTGAATTATAAGCCGGGAAATCAAAATGCTTTGGCTGATGCGTTGTCACGCAGGCTTGACTATGAGCTTGATCATGTTACGATTCTGTCGTCGTCGGTCACTGACCTAATCCGTATGTCATATGCCAAGGATGAACATTGTGTAGCTCAACTGCGTGCTCTAGGGAGCGAGGAGTTTAAGGACTCAGACATGTAAATGTCGGAATGATTACGTGCGAGGCTACATCGATATTTCATCGATCAAGGCCTGTTGTGCTGTAGCACGGATGTGGAGGAATCCCCTCGCATTGTTGTCCCTCATCATGAGGAGTTGATAATCGGATCCTCTGTGAGGCACATAATACTATGCTGAGTGGTCACCTCGGTCGTAAAAAGACTTACGGCTCGGTTAGCCAATGCTATTGGTGGCTCCAACTATACAAATGGGTGAGCACATATGTGCGTACATGTGAAACGTTGCAACGGGTAACACCATCACCTCACGCGGCCGCACCGCTGGCTAGTTTGCCTGTACCCAAGGGATATTGGGAGTCCATCAGCATGAGATTCCTGTTCAGTTTACCAAAAGATTCGTATGGCAATACATGTTTAGTGATCTTTGCTGACCGTTTGAGCAAGATGGATCATTTATCGGCGGTGCCGGATACCTTATGGTGAGGGTATACCTACGCTATTTATCGATCGCGTGTTTCGACAACACAGTTTGCCGTTGGAAATTGCTTCTGATAGAGATCCTTGCTACACTGGAAAGTTTTAAAAATCATTTTTAAGGTGCTCGGCACACGTTTGAACATGTCCACAGCGTATCATCCGCAGAAAGATGGTCAAAATGAGAGAGTGATTCGCATCATCGGTGACATCTTGCGCAGTATTTGCGCTATCAATCCTAAGCGTTGGAGTTATATTCTCCCTGTCGTTGAGTTTGCGTTGAATAACTCCGTGCATTCCGTCATTGGCTAAACACCATTCTATGTGAATGGTCGCACACACCCTCGCGTTCCGCTAACGCTACCACTGCGTTTTTCAGGGCTTGGTTGGGTAGGAGTTGCCGATCGGCTTGCCGATATCAGATGTTAAACTGTTAAAAAACAGGTAAGCAAGTTTCTCGCAACGCGATTAAATGTCTCACGACATGTGCGTGACGCACTGGCTAGTATATTAGACAATCATAAGGAACAAGCTGATGCTAAAGGCAGAGGTAGTATTGAGCGATATGAGGTCGTGGACCAAGTTCTACTCAATGCCAAAAACAAACCTACTAACGTAATGTTCGCCGTCTTCAAGACAAAGTTTTGTCCGCGCTTCATTGGACCATTAAGGGTCTTCTACAAGAAGGGACTTACGTACACGCTCAACCTTCCGTGCAAACTGCGAACACACCCTAAGTTCTACGTGGGCTTGCTTAAGCCCTATCTGGATCCGTGCCACGTGAAGTTTGAGGAGATTGCGCCGCATAGGTTGGCCTTGCCATCAGTTGCCGAATTCGTATCAATAGGTCAAGCTGAGCCTCCATCCGGGCTTGGCTAAACTTCAATGCCTAGACACGGGCTTAGCCCAACTTCAACACCTCAACACGGGATCGCATCGCGTCAAACGCACTATGGGTCTGACCCAATGTCTCAAGGAGACCACTTAACTCGAGAAGAATCTTCTCATGCTCCTCCTTCGGTATATTGACCACCCCCGACGCTGCTCGATGAGCAAGGGAACCGCCAAATCCATGTGGAGCGACTCCTGAAACGACGTCGATGTCAAGGTCAATACCAGTATCTGGTGAAGTGGCGAGGATACCCGAAGTCGGAGAACTCGTAGGAGTTTGAGATACCCCTTCGGTAAGATTTCCCATACGCCGTTGGTGTTTTTAAACATCGAGCAAAGGGTCATCCCTCGACCGAGGGCGCTTCTCACAAATGGTGGTGGATGCAGGTGGGTAGTTTGGCACCGCTTGACCAACACCCACATCAACCGGCACAGCCGGAGCATAGCTTAGGCGAGTTCGCAGCTGGCCTCTGGCGTTAAGCTTGGCGTATTCATACCGAAGCTTTCGTTCTAGACAAAAATCTACGACGTCGGCACTTGCACTGAGAGCTAACATGCTGCTGAGGTGTCGTTTTTGATGCACTTAGCAAACAAAAGCGTCTTCTTCTTCTTCCTGCGATTCAGGTGCGAACAAGAGGATGATTATACCCTTCATTGGTGGATCCGGTGCACCCCGTTCTTGCGTGTAAAGTCGCAACTTTTATTGAATCTGAGTCGTCAATTGAGGTTGCAGAAACCTCGCACAAAGTTTTTGTCGACTAACCACCTCATCAACAGATGTTGACTCAGCGCCAATGGCCATGTTGCCAAAGAACGACCTGTAATTTGGCGTATACGCTCTTCCACACTGAGTGGTGTGAACAGATAGCCACGAAGACCATCAAGGGTTGCAGCAAGCTGCATACGGCTTTGAGCGCTCTCCTCTTAATGGATAGCCAACTGTTGTTGCTCATCGAGCGGATTAGTGATGATGGAATCGCTACAGGAAGTGGTCGATGCGGCGCCGATGGCGCGTTGGCTTCGCCATGCTCGGCAAATGGGTTTGGTGCAGTATGAGGCGGTGCCTCTTGCACTGGTGAGTCGGACATTGTCCTCTCGTCGTATGGATATCGGTATCGCTACCATAATCCACATCCACATCGATGATAAGGTAAGACGAGAGAGTCGAGGACTCATGGGGTGGCGATGCCATAGTGTTTTGTGTTTTCCCAACCGTAAGTTGAAGCGCACACACACCGTCCTCTTCGAGGAAAGAATTCGATCAACGTTTTGTAAAAACGTCAGTCTGGTGGGGGAGGGTGTAACGGGGTTACACGTCGACTGGTAGTCGACAATAGGTGTGGTGCACCAAAGGGACGGGGTCCCCTTTAAAGTAATATTAGAACACAGTATCAATTGATGAAGACTGATGTCTGTCAACCATTAATTACGGGATCTTTTGAGATGTTTATTTAGGACATTAGTGAGTAGGTTAATTACTTTGATCTAAGGTGTTCTTTTAGATTAAAAGAAGAAACAAAATTCAGTATCTATTTTGATCCGATAGACACGTGACTCTCTGAGGCGTCTTAACATCGTTAAGGAGGTATCAACGCCTTTTTAAGGCAGATACTCCTAGTGCACTCTCTGCTGTGATTTTCTGAATCGTTTGGTACCCCTGGAATAGGGACCGTAAGATCTCTGAGCATGTTGACTCTTTGAGTCGGGTTCTTCGAACCAAACCTTACCTCTCTGAGATGTTCACTCTTTGAGTCGGGTTCTCTGAAACTTAAGTAGCTCATTGAGCGTTAAGTCTTCCTCTGACTTCAGGAGATGTGTAGCTCCGCTACACTCAGCGCAAGTGCTACTTCGCCAAGGTCAATTTGTATCATTTATGGCCCTCACCTTACACTTTGAAATTTGTTTTGGTATAGATGTTTCGGGCAACTTACTTTTAATGCAACAGTGCTAGGTTACGGATACTGAAAGCAGTAAGCAGTTGCCTTAAAAATTTCCCACACGATCATTTAACTTTTTTTTCTAGATATCGAAATAGAGAGGATTATGTTTATATAATGATGGATGCCTATATAGAATGTGTAATCAACTTTAAGACTTACATCTCAATACAAATACAATTTGTATATTTGTGCTCGCCACATATTGCGCGCGTCCATCATAGAAAAATCCTTTTGCTATTTAACGTAATGACCTACATGAAAAAAAATCAGCAATATTACTCAAAATCACTCTATGTAGTTTTGATAAGAATTGTCCAGCTAGATAATATCATCAGTGATATTTGCATGTCGAAATTATATAACGTATTCGCACTATTGCATTCAATAAATAAAGAGTCAGGTCATCGCTATTACAAGTAATTATCAGCATGGACGTTCAAAAGAAGCTTAAATGTGACATTGAAGGCTATCGGGACTGATGCTGTGTGAACGTCTCTCGAAGGACACACGGATATAATTACGCACAGTGTAGAAAAGATCCTTAGTTCGTCATCACTTATGCTACCTCTAAGTCTTCCGCACTCATTGCGTCATCTCAATCTAACATAAAATTCGCAACGAACGCACGCTTGGCTTGATTCGACTGATCGACCAGGCGTACGCACGAAGCGCCTCCGCTGGTTCAACGGACTCTTCTGGAACACCATGTCATCCACATGACGCAGCAAATGTATAAGCTCTTCGTCTCCGCAATCCTCCTCAACAGATCTGATGCTGCTCTTCTTGACTTGTCGTTATTTGTAATGCAACACAAGCTCATTAGCATCACGTGTGATGTATGCGTATGGATGCACAACTTCAAACAGCTTAGAGTACTCGCGTAATTCAGTTTCAAGTGCATAATTGAAGAAGTCGTACGGCACATACCTTCCACCGATGCAACTCTCCTGAATGATCCCAGGGTGCAGTCCCGCCTCCATCCACACAAAGCGCATTCGCCCTGGCAGGTACTGGCTTGCAAGTATTCTGTGCATCTCAGTAGCAATGAATTCATTGCCCGGGATCATGTGAAGAGATGCCAGTACTTGCACCACTTCCGCTGGGGGTCTTAAGAACCGCAACGTCTTGACAATATCCATGAGTCTAGCGTACAAATCTTCTGGCCCCAATGGACGAACTTTTTCAAGCAAATGCGCAAAAGCTGGAGCGTTCATATGCCCTGAAGGTACAGCAAGCTCCGCGAAAGCACGAACATGGGGTGGAGTCTTTTCGAGTTGCACCTCTCGAAACATAAGCCTTTGAGCCTTCGTCTGGTTCTCCGGTGAGGCAAGATTTCTGACCTCGCCATAAAGATACAACAGGGTTTTCGCACGCTCTTCTTGACCACGTTTTTTTCCCAGTCGATGGAGATAAGCATACACTTGTCCCGGTTTCTTGTTTGGGAATAATAGGCTGAATGCTTCATCGATGTCGAGTGCTGCCGAGTGCGCTTTTCGATACCGTATCATGTACAGTACCCATTCGTGCAAAAACACCAGTTTTTCATCGCCAGTGTGTGTAAGGTGCCAGCCAAGGACTTCAAACAATTCTCTGGGGTCCAGTCCCAACCCCATCCATGCGTCAGACATGACGTTAGGAATATTCTTGTGGATCGCAACTAGCTGTCTGTGTAGCGTGTCGGAAACAGCTCTCGTTTCTGGAATCAAACGAAGCGACACAATCAGACGCGTCACTTCTAGTGGGTTCCTCTTTGTCAATAAGGCGCGAACTATCTTCGAATAACGAACGTGCCAACGGGACGATGGTCGAGCCTCATTGAGAAGTAGTAACGTTGCAAATTTCGTTGCGTCCATGGGTTGTTCGCCTCTCGCGAAGTTCTCAAATGCCCTGGTGCTTTTGGCTTTTAGAGCGTAGGAGGAAGATGGCCAATCGGGTTGTGCCATGGTCTGAGGAAGCATCTCCTCGCGGCCGAAAGGTTTGACTTTGCTCGCCACGTCAGTCAATGCAAGAGCAGACGATTCTAGCACCTCTGCAAGCTTGTTCTCCATCCGGTCCTCGCTTCTGGTGTCTTTGCGCACTGTCTTGTCCATTTCTGAGGCATGCGACTCCGGAATGGACGCGGTCGGGCCTGAAGCGGCTGGGCTGGCATGATGCATTCGTCTGGGGTCGGGCGTGGATTCGTTGAAGCTTGATTGTTCAGAATTAAGAGCATCAGCACATGCTAGTTCGCCGTCTCTCAGCAAGAGCAAGAGAGGTGCGGCAAATGCCGATAGCACCAAGCTATTGACACGCATAGTTAGGTGCGCGTGGGTGCTAGCAGATTGCGAAGTAAGAGATACAGTGAATCGCACCCTTCCATCCGTAGAGCGTGACCAATCGTTTTTAAGTCACAAAACGAACTTTTGGTCCGTCTTTAATTCTGTCTTACAGACCTGGTTTCTCATTTTAAATCAGATATTTGGTTTTAGTTCACTTATTTACACACTCTGTGCGTTGCATATGCCAGACGAATAGGAATCGGACCAATGACAACCCAACTGAATCATCTTGATCAACACGATGGTCTCGTCTTTAGAAGAACCATAACTCAGCTACCTTTGAACATACAAGTGTCAGGAAGCGGTTGATTCCTACGACGAATACAATGGTACTCACGACTGCCAGGCTGTACGTAAGTGAAACAATTGCGTATATACAGCGATGGAGATCAGATTACAAGCTAATAATCAGCACATCGCAGTAGATATTATGCGGGCGGGTTGTGATGCGACGTAATTCATTATGTGCAATTTATTACCACTTCCTCCAAAGCGACTTAACTGTGGCTCATCGATGTCGCGTATAGGTGAATGATGGCAAACAGTTTTCTGTTAAACTTTATACGCGTAGATGATACATCAATGCTGTGGGGTTGCTCTAACGCAAGATGCCATAACTGCAACAACTTTAATCATGATACTGTATATCCTCGAGTCATAGTTAACTGGTTTCCACTTATATGTGAAGGACAACTGCTAACTTCGTACTGGAACACCAGTACGGAGTTAACTTCTACTGACAACAGTGAAGGTCAGTGCCTTGCTAGGTGTAAGCACTACACAGAGGAAGAGTGAACAACTAAGGCAAGACTGTTGTTAAATGATCTGTAACACTGTTATTTGGTACAATTAAGTCTTGTGATTCTTGTTTTTTGTTTTGACTTTACTTTATTATAGGAATATAACTAAATGTATATTGACGTCTACCCACCAATCATTGCGCGCGTCTAGCATCGATTGGTGGATTAATATATTTACAATATTAACCAACGAGCAGACCTTTGCTTCATCTCAACAAAATATCAACAATTAGAAATATTGTTAAAAGAACGCTCGAGAATACATTCTGTATCACCATTTCACGCATTTATAATTTTATGTAACGGGCTACCTCGTTACATCAAAGGTCTCGAGGCGACCTTATTTACGACAATATGCTAGATAAATTGTTCGTTTCGTATTGCGCTACGTTTGACAGGGACAATAGAGTCGTATGCTCATTGTCAAGTACCATCCTTTTCAGGATCTATGCTCTACTGTGTAGCACGCGCAGGGCAACAATCCGCTTACGATAACTGATATTCTTTTTTGTAGATTAACGATTTCATTCCTTTGAGGTGACCGTCGAGATATGGTCACGTTAATAAGGCATGCCTATAACTTAAGAGATGAACGTGAACTTCTTAACTAATTTCTAATTTACTGTGGTGGAGTGGAGATCACAAATTCCTTGTGTTCCCGACTCTCCACTGGCGCCCGGACGACCGACTAACGGAGGGGGTACCCCGATTTCGTGCTCTGTGTCTTTTTGCTTACCTTGTGTACGCGTCGGTAGGGCAGGTTGCGCTCTTCTTGGTGGAATTGAGCTGAAGCTGAACTTGACCGCATTATGGATAGGTGTTGATCGGGTCAAAACTCTTCACCCGGTCAATCGTTCGTGCAGATCGCGTGGAAGTTCTTCACCCGATCGCTTGTAACTTTGGCGCTCTCCCAGAGTCGCCTGTATCCAAAGGTGATGCTTGATCCGTGAGCCTTCTGACCACTTGAGCCGTCTCGCGATCTTGAGTCTGAATCGTAAGGTTCACTGCGTCCTATCGTAGTTGAGAGGGGGGCGATAATTGAAGTTCCGCCTGGCCAAACAATCGTAGGGCGAAGTTTGCAGAGACGTGGGTGACTCTCTATTCAACTGGAGGCCAAAGATCCTGCCCGGGAGAAGTCGACGAATGTCCTTCGTTGTAAATTCAATTCAGTTCAATGTCAACTAAACAAATCCAAACCCTATTACTATGCCTATTTGTTTGATAGGTCAACTGTTGTGCACCACCTGTCTATGTCATGCATCCCTTACCTCATGTGTACACAGCAGATACTCCGTAGTGGATCGCTCCACAGCGGGTCGCTCCATAGTGGATCGCTCCACAGTGGATCGCGGTACAGTGGATCGCTCCATCGTGAATCGCTAGGTGGTCCATAATGGCTCGCTCCATAGTAGATCGTTTGGGTAGTAGGTCACGGTATATCATCTAGACCAATTATATGTCCTTACAAAAAATTATTTTACACCTAGGGTTGATCGCGATCAATCTCTAGAGTCTCTGATCGGGCATCCACCTTCGGATCGCCGATACTTTTGAAACGTCGAATGTTTATTGATCTTGGCGATCCAATCCTCCAGCTTGCTTCCATATTCACCTGTTTCTCATTGTCGATAGCGATCCAGTATTACGGCTATCGTCCACCCCTTGAGTGAGCCGGTCCTTGTAATTTGGTGATCCAAGCCCTTGATCGCAGGTCGTGATCGGTCAATCGTCTATACTTGATTATACTCCTTCTTGAACCTTAGGTAAATCAATCCGAACGACTTTGACAGTCAAAATCTTTCATTCGGTTGCGTGACCCCATCATTCGTGCCAACGGGCCTATCTCCAAGCTCAATCCACCAACCAAATCGATCTCGCACTTAGTGCGGTAGTCGCGATCAACACTTTCCATCATTCTTATTCTGCGCTTCTCCACAATACGGCCCGGGAACTTAAAGGCACGAATATTACTGACATCACTAACGCTGATTTTACAAAGACCAACGACATCAGGTTGCATTTCTCATCCCTACTTAAGTTCAAGCCATGGTTTGTATCTGTATCGAAGTAAGCTTTCCGATACAGGTTACGTGGTAATGCGGCATTTCTGCTTCATTATCCTTTCGCGATTGTACGCGCTGATGGTCAACTCATTTCTTTGCAATTTGATGTATCTCAACAATAAGCTTTTACCCGCGCATGGCATGAATGAACTGCTTTGTAATGTTTACTGCCTCATCTTAGCTCGATCGTTAGAAGGATGGACAATTAAGCCATATCGTTCCCGCGCGCGAACGTACGCTACCTTTGCAATAGTCAATTTATCTAGTTGTTGAACTTATACGCCCTAAGCCACTGCTGATCGGAGATATCTAGGTTGAGAAACAGCATTACAACTTTATCTTATCTTACGCTAGCTGAGGCTAAGCAAGACTAGAATATATATCTTCGGTAACAAGCCCATTTTTTAGTACTACTTCAAATTTAATCTGTCGTGTCACAAACTATTCACACCATGGATCAATCTTGATGCTTATATGTAATAGACGTTTATTACAAATAGGTGGTCAGGCGTCAATTTGTCGAAGCCTATGTATTGCGTTTAAAAATCATTGTTTGATGTATAAAGTTGTTTCGGCAATACGAGAACGAGTTATACCTCGCGCAATATATATTTACCATATAAGATCGGCAATCGGTTGAAACCCTAACATTGAAATTTTTTTTGCAAAACTTCAAGTAGGGAACTGAGGTATGTCCGCTGTTAAGTTAATACGTATAGAATGGTGCTTTTTCGAAAGCGTCAATTTAGTACTTATACAAATGTTATTCTCGGTAAATAGATCATAATATTTTAGATAGCGAAAATAGTAAGGCCCATATTTGATTAATTGAGGTTACAGCACATTGATAAGTTTTGTTGGTTATAACTTTTCATACCAGTTAATAGTTTGAATTGTGATGTAATGGTCCAAATATTTAAACAACCAAAGACTTCTAAATTCGTTGTTTTACTTTTGGTGACCTATGTGGCATAATTCCTTAATTCATTTCAGAACAGTAAAATGCCCGCTGAAATAAGTAGTACGGTGAGTCGACCTTAAACGAGCTTTATAGCAGTCAGATTGCAGATCAGTATATTGATCATGTGTCGTGTTGATAATTCAGCCGTCGTCTCTTGCTAAACTCATAGATCCGCATAGACCCTCATGGTAATATCCTTCCATCGCAAGTTTTAGACGTTGTCGACGCAACTCTTTACTTCTATTTAAGTTGTACGGCCTCCTCATTCATATATGTAGCAAGCATAATGGCATCCTTTTTGCTAAATATTAATCAGAATTGTGGTGCAGCGACCAATAAATTCCGCGATACGAGAACAGATCGCGCTCCAGTAATATCCGGATTTCCAAACGGTTGGCGGCGCCGGTCCCACACCTGTCGTATTTTCTATACTTAGCTGTTAGACAGTACCCAATGTCAGATCAGAAAAGGTGGACCTATGACATCAGATAAAAATCGATGGACGAAGGTCACAAGTCATAGAGCTTTAAAAACTGTCCAGGAAAGATTACGATCGCGATCAGGAGCAAAATCGCGACTAATGAGACGATCAAGATCGTTATCGGCGATCAGAAATTTGATTGCGATCAGGTTAGTGGGGGACGATAAGTGATCGCGATCAGAGGAGTAGGTGCCACACCATGTGATCCGTGGTCAGCGATAAGATCTCGA